TTCCTTTCTAGAGACTAACTCCAATCCCACCCATAGGCCTGGAAGAATGTGGCTGCCTGTGCTAGGCTCCACTTGTCCATGGCAGACTTGGGGAGGCATGAGTGATTTTCTCCTTGCACTCCATGGTACTGTTAGAAGTAGTTCATGGCACTCCAGGATGCTGCAACAGCCCAGTTGAGAATCACTTGCCTAAATGTATGCACCTCATTCAAGGGACTCCAACATTTAAAGGAGCAATCCAAAATCCTGGTTGCCATCTCTCTGAAATTTCAGCTATGGGATGAGATGACTATTTTGTATCCAAACTGGATATATGATTACAAGCAAGCACTAAATCTAAATACCAGTTCCATTTTTCTACTTGTAGCACCAATAGGTGAATCTACACATGCGCTTTAATGCGCATTAGCCTATTTTAATATGCATTAAAGCATCACCAAAAAAACATGCTCTTTAGCTAATGTGCATTAAAGTAGGCTAATGCACATTTTTCTAGTACCTCAAATGCAGGTGTTAGATTTCATTTGTATTACCTAAAGTACATTCATTGAATGTGTAGCCATGTCCAATGTTTTGTCCAACTTAGTGGTGCGTATCTTAAGTTAAATTCAATTGAGAGAGAGAGTGAGCATGCGCACATGAATGATTCTGAAGTCTAGAGCTTTAGCCACTTATCTGGATAAGGAAAAACATGGATTTCTAGTTCTTGCTCCCATGACTGTTTATATACCTGACTTGAAAAAAGACATTGAATAAAATATATAGAACTGTTGGAAAGGAGGCTGGAAGCTAGGTCTCCCCCTGCAGGTGAGTACCCTAGCCACTAGGCAACAGAGTAATACTCGGTCTCTCTTGCTGAAAGTTTCCTGACTAAAGAATTTTGCATTCCTTTCTGAAAATAAGCACAATGTCAATAGGAGTGGGGGAGTGTTCTCTCCCCTCAGAAAAATCACAGTATAGGGGTTAGGGAACTCTCCTAATAAGTAGAAGACATGGGGCTATACCATCTCAGAGAGGGAAAGTAATTGAACTCTCCCACAGCCTTAGCAATTTTTCTAGTAATTGAACAAAGAAAGTGATTGTGGAGAGGGAGGGAATCACTCTTCTCTGTCTGTGTTGAAGAAGGATGAATTCTGCTGTTTTTGAAAGAACAACTGTAGTTCCAAGTTACAAAAGAAGGCTTTCACACAACTCTCTCTTCCAGCATTCCCATAATGACTATGTCTAGGTTAATCTTCCCAGTTTACATTATGATTATTGTGAATCATACTCTGGGTCCCCTAACTCTCACCATGCACTATGCAGGCAGCTTAAACACCTTCCTAAGGACTCTGGGGTAATGTGCTGAAAAGTTGACTCCACATTGAATATTTTGATGAAGTAACTATTAAAAAATGACCCAAGCCTAAATACATTCTTCAAATTGCCCTATATAGTTATTTCCCATACAAAGTCTGGGCCCCATCTTGCAGACATTATTCAAGCAAAGTCTCCATTCAAATCATTAAAAATACATTGTGCTTCCTGTCATAACCCAAAGGTATGATTTTGTGTGTGCTTCGGCACTAGAATTATTCCCGCTAAATTGCAGCTTCGTTGCACGGTGGAGTTTTCTGCTGCTCAGGAGAACCCCGGTGCAAGGGAGAATTTCGCGCCAATTTGTAGCTTCCTTTGCAGGGTGCATTGCTCAAGTTGCAAGAGAAATGCATGGTGCAAAGGAGTTCCCACCACCCGCATGCAAATTTGTTCTCCGCTATTGGCTAGTTCTAAATTATTCCCACGTGGCGGCTAACGATTGGCCTACTAGCCATATAAGAGGTTTGAGCGGTTTCCGCCCAAGCCGAAGAGGACTCCACATCCATCTCGTGGGGACTCTGGGTACACGGCAGGGTAATAGAAACCCTGTGTGAGATTCAGAGGAGTTTGGCGACCTGATCC